CGGGAGAAACTATGATAAAAAAAGGAAGACGCATTTATTTGGGGTTGTAAATTGTTTTCTTGGGGTTTGGGACATCTTCGGCAGCCTTCGAACCCCCGCCCTCAAGTGCCGGCCTGCTGTTATAAGCGTGTTAAGGGCCATAAAGATTTTCCTGCAAATTGGTTCCCCATAACACCAATTGTTCTCTTAGTTCGTTAGTTACACAAATTGGTTGTAGTGTCGTATTGCACTCTGTGATTTACCGCTAGCTCTGAAGCATTCAGTGCATACCTACCCCCTCTCCTCCGCACCCACACCACCCTGACCCCATCCCCTTACCGCAACATCCGCGTCCCCCCTTCCCCATGGGATTGTACAATCAACCCCTCTTGTAGTTCTCTCTGTCTCATGTGAGTGACAATCTCTCATCAACCACGATTATGTAATGTATTATCCATTTTAGTTTCTTATATAGAAACTTAGTAAAATATGAATATTTTTCCACTCAAGCACTTCAGTTGGAAATAGTGCGAACTCATATTTAAAGCAAGACAAATGTTCTGCTTAACGATGTTCACAAACCAAAACCTAGTTTTTCCTCTCTTCTGAAGTCTTGACCCGGTTAATTGGCTATTTAAACAAACTGGAAAAATATTGAGTTTCGGTATTTATTGCCATTTGTTTGAATAATTCTCAAAGGTAATTGGATGTGTGTAACCAAATTGTAGAGTCTTGGAGGGTCTGTTAAATTATAGCTGTATATGCTGAGCTTCTCAGTCGTGAGGCACTGCAGCTCACCTCTCCACCGCTCAAGTTTATGACAGCGCTCAATCCCCGACCGTCCAAGTGGTTGGGCACCATTCCTTTCCCCGCCGTTCCATCCCTAATCCTTATCCTGGCCCCTTCACAGTGCTATATAGTTGTAATGGCTTGGTGCTTTCCCCCTGATTGTTCCCTTCCCTTCCCCACATCTTCTGAGGCTGATAGACGGTGCTTTAAGCACCCCCAAGTCTCTGATAGATGGCGCTTTATAATCTCTCTGTTTTTTTTAACTGTCACATAAAATTCACCTGAGGTTTCTTCATAGATTATTAGAAATGATCGCAAATCAATGTGATCTTAAAAATCCACAAAGGTATTAGATTGTGTATGTGAGAGCTTCCCCAGCCCCGAACACGCTACACATGAGCATTCTACACAATTTAGAAGAATGTCTCATCACCCCTCTCGTTAAAATTAGCCGGCTGGAACACCTGTGAGAAATAGATGCCAGCACGAGTTTCGCGGGTGTAAATATATGTGAGAAATACTTAACCACAATCAGGGGTGAAATAAGACAAGTGTCCTGGTATGGCATCTCGCACGAACGGCCAAGTCGCTTTAAAATATTTCCTTCACTTAATGTTTGGTGTAAACCAAGACAAACATTGGGTTTTGCCTGCGGCCACCGTGCGTGCTTGCTCGTGAACAGGTTCTCCTGCAGAGTAATGGGAAATGGAACCAATAAGAATGTGTACCCGGTGACGGTGAAGAGAGCAAATGTAACAGAAATATGAACTCTCTCTCCAACCGCAGAGAAAAATATACTTTGCACAAATAATAAGTAACATTTTCCTTCGTTAATATTAATTTCAAACAACATGAATTTACAGGATAAATATAGCCTGAGAGGAGGAAGGGAGTTAATAGTCTCCCGTTGTGAAGTCAAGGCTAACAACATTCTGGAGAGATATATGAATTTTGCGCCAAGATGGAAACATTTTGTTGATTTGTCTTAATGTCGATTTATAACCTCTTTATTGCCACTCATTTGTAAGTAATTAGCCATAAAAGTATTTGTGTGTAAGATTGGTATCCAGCAAGCATAGGAAATATTGCCGGAACAACCGTGGACATCTTCAAGAGGAAACTAGATTGTTTCCTCCATGGAGTGCCAGACCAGCCGGGCTGTGGTGGGTATGTAGGCCTGCGGGCCGCTCCAAGCAACAGCCTAATGGACCAAACTCTCACAAGTCAAGCTTGGCCTCGGGCCGGGCTTGGGGAGTAGAACAACTCCCAGAACCCCATTAATCAGGTATCAACCAGGTATCCTACGGCATCTGTTCAGGAAGAAATGCTAGTTTATCAACCAAAATGTTCGGTAAAATAAATAAATATATATATATATATATATATATATATATATATATATATATATATATATATATATATATATATATATATATAAACACAGTACTAAACGAGGTAAGAAAAGCTTTAGCTACCTCATCCCTTTCTGTCTGTTATATACCCCCAATAAACCTATTTCAATTTCAAGGCTTATGAAAGCGGGTATAATGTTATCAGAAAATATTTACAGTGACCCTTAGCGCCCAAATCACAGCTCCTTTCTCAACGGTGTACCACGGTGTATGACCTCTGCTCCTCCTGTGAGAGTAACAAGTGTTGATAAACATTACTTACTGAGTTATACACACGGAGATTTTGCACTACACGCTCGGGAGAAAAACTGTCATAATAGAACATGAGCCGGTCTGCTTGTGTTTGTTGGTCTGACTTGTGTTAGATGGAGCTGGCTTGTGTTTGGGTAGCTTGTGAAAGTGAGGTCAGGGTTGGGTTAATTGTTAGTTGGCTTAGCTAAACTTACATGAGTCTCCCTAGTTTGACGTCAAGAGTGTATGGAATCTCCCCTAATTTGACGTCAAGGTTGTATGCAGTCTCCCCTAATTTGACGTCAAGACTGTATGCAGTCTCCCCTAATTTGACGTAAAGAGTGTATGGAATCTCCCCTAATTTGACGTCAAGATTGTATGCAGTCTCCCCTAATTTGACGTCAAGACTGTATGCAGTCTCCCCTAATTTGACGTCAAGACTGTATGCAGTCTCCCCAAATTTGACGTCAAGAGTGTATGCAGTCTCCTCAAATTTGACGTAGAGTGTATGCAGTCTCCCCTAACTTGGCGTCAGGTGCATATATTCTTAAGAGGAATGCAGTAGCGTTCAGCACGACGAGGAATGTATACACAACATCTCTAAATCTGCCTCACAGATTATCCCCCTCTCCGTCAGTCTTACTGCCAGAGAGCAAGTGTGCTCGCTTGGCCAGACACGCATCGCTCTTCATCACCAACCAACAGCGAGAATCGGATCCATCAGTGCTGCATAAACCTATTGAAAGCTCAAATCTGAAGTCTAATGGAATATTGTTTATTCAAAATATTAGCGAGAGACGAAATTTTTCAGAAGTGTTTTTGTTATTGGTTAGTTTTAGTGATGGTAGTTTGTTGTTGTAGTAGTTTAAATAGCAGTATTATTAGTAGTAATGTGGTAATTATTCAACAGTAATGATAAAGTTAGGATCAATCATACGCTGATTACTGGAAGCTAAATATTATTCACGTTATGTATATAAATGTAAGTGTAATTTACACCTGTTCAGCACAGACACATTTGTAACGATCTGTATAAGTTCTTCTCAATAATGTTTCTGTGTCGGATTTAACAGACAAGTTATAGATTATACATCCTCGAAGCAGCTTGATCACGCGTGTCTGTAACTTGCGACTGGCAAACAGAATTGTCTGTTGTGTGTCTCAAACCCAACTAGCTTGTGTGTTTGCCAAGTATATATGTATAATGCCAGTCAAAAATGCGTTAAGCTTGATTGAGGGGCCTACCTGTCAAGCAAGCCTGTCTAGAGGGCCTGGGAATTGTATCCGGCTAAAATCTATTGCCCAGGTCAGTGTTTGGTCCAGCAGACGAGGAGGAGGTAAAAAATATTGGGAATATAGTCTGTGTAGATATAGAATGGGGAGGTAACAGTAAGATATCAGAGGAAACAAGAAGCAAGACTCTTTGAGATCGATGTTATTACACCAAGGAGCCTCAATTCCCGTGTCACCGCCAGCCATCACACAAATTGTCTATTGCCCAGTCAGTAGACAAACAATTACAATTACAAATAATTATGAGACTGGAAATGCAGCTGTAATTTTTAAGTACAGAACAAAAAGGAACAAAATCCATCCTAGCTCACAGTGACGACCCACTTTGGCCCACCGTGACGACCCATCCTGGCCCACAGTGGCGACCCACCCTGGCCCACACTAACGACCCACTCTGACCAGCAGTGACGACCCACTTTGGCCCACCGTGGCGACCCTTCCTGGGCCACAGTGACGACCCACCTTGGCCCACAGTGGCGACTCACCCTGGCCCACAGTGGCGGCCCAGCGACTTGCTCACATTAGAAACCTACTCTTATCTAGTCCGGTAATTACAGGGCAAGTAAACTGGTCCCACCGGTTAACCGGACAAATCCTCCCAATTGACTGCATCAACAACAGGTGACTTGGGAGCATGTTGTTGGGGGGGTTATGGTGGGTGAGGGTGTAAATGGTGGGGTGTTGAGGGTGGGGGTGTTGAGGGTGGGGGTGCTACCGAGGAACTTCGTGTTGTCGGCTCCTCTATTGTGATTGTAATCTACAAGCTCAACGATCCTAATTAGCGAGTACTAAATTTGCGATAGCAGCAAATGCTGTCAATTTTCCAGATGAAGCCCAGCGATACCGTGAGCTTGGTTTCTGCACGCTAGCACGACTGACAGCTGCTGCTGCTGCTGCTGGTAGACGCTTGCATGACTGATGACCGCAGCTGCTGGTAGACGCTTGCATGACTGATGACCGCAGCTGCTGGTAGATGCTTGCATGACTGATGACCGCAGCTGCTGGTAGACGCTTGCATGACTGATGACCGCAGCTGCTGGTAGATGCTTGTATGACTGATGACCGCAGCTGCCGGTAGATGCTTGCATGACTGATGACCGCAGCTGCTGGTAGACGCTTGCATGACTGATGACTGCAGCAGCTGGTAGACGCTTGCATGACTGATGACCGCAGCTGCTGGTAGACGCTTACATGACTGATGACTGCAGCAGCTGGTAGACGCTTGCATGACTGATGACCGCAGCTGCTGGTAGACGCTAGCATGACTGATGACCGCAGCTGCTGGTAGACGCTAGCATGACTGATGACTGCAGCAGCTGGTAGACGCTTGAATGTCCGTTGACGGCGCCAAGGTTCCTTAAAAAGCAGCTGACGGCGGTTGAAAGACGTTTTCCAGCAGACTAAACATGCCAAATTAATATCTCATCAACATTCAATCAATATTTTCAACATTGATTCATTCTCACGTCATCTTAATTTGCTCAGACTGGTGGTGGGGGTGTGAGGTATGGGGGGCGAGGGTGTTTAAGGTCCACCATACCTGTGTATCCGGCACTTGCATGGTACCCGACTGCTGCTGTCAACCACAGAAGCTCCTCTTGGCAGCCCAAAGAGAAACCAAGGGCCCCACATCCCCCTGAATGTTCACAGAAAGCTTTTCTCGATCACGAGAAAGCCTTATGATTGAGAAAAAGATGTAAAGATTTCGTAAATGTGACAAGACGATACCACACTTTTAAAACATGAGTTGTGGCACAGTGGTCTACGTTCGCGACACACTCGCGGATACCGGGTTCAAATGACTGGGCTGAACCGAAACGGTTGAGCATGTTGTATTTTCACCTGAATAGGTGTTAGGTGAAAATAGCTTCCCAGGGAGTTAGGCAACTATTGTGGGGTTGCCTAACTCCCTGGGAAGTTAGACAAGCGTAGTTAGACCTAGAGTTATTAGAGGAGGGAGGGGGGGGAGGGGGTCTTGATACAGGTCTTGGTACAGTCTTCACGTCTCTGACAATAGCAATTATTTGTATTAATTATCTAATTATATTTGCTACTTAATTGTCTGGCAAAAACGTAAGACAATTAGTTCCTTAAGAAAGTCGAATTCTATCATGTTTGAAATTAATTATAACCAGACATGATTGTGTTTATGCGAACCTGTGTGAAGTTGAGCTTCTGGGGCCAGATTCACGAAGCAGGTACGCAAGCACTTACGAACCTATACATCTTTCCTCAATCTTTGACGGCTTTGGTTACACTTATTAAACAGTTTACAAGCATGAAAACTTCCCAATCAACTGCTGTTATTGTTATAAACAGCCTCCTGGTGCTTCGGAGCTCATTAACTGTTTAATAATTGGAAACAAAGCCGCCAAAGATTGAGAAAAGATGTACAGGTTCGTAAGTGCTTGCGTAAGTGCTTTCGTGAATCTGGCCCCATCTATCTACTCGACAAGTCTGTACAAGTGGCTTTAACAATTTAAAATTAGAATCTACTTTTATAAATAATAATTCATATTTTAATATCTCAGAGCAGTGGTTACAAGATTTGGTGAGCGATTATGTAACAAGGAGAGTGAGAAAATGAGTAGAAGCTATGATGGGGGATTCGAACCCACACACTTCGTACTCCCAACCCACCATATCGTAGGATTCACCTTCGGAGGTTTCCACCATTTCAGGACGTCAAATTTTTGGGGAATTGTCAGACTTTAGCAAACATGCAGCAGTTGATGCCTTGGCAACCTGAGTTGTGGCTGAATGCACCGAGAGATCAGTAGGGGAAAAATATTTTCCTTTTTTTTGTTAGCATTTGAAGCTACTCTGGCCAATAATATTTTCAACATGCTATATTAACCCCACAACCAATTTCCCCAAAATTGGTTCTCTCACTATTGTATGTAGTGATTTGTATTCAGGGACCTGTTTACTCTGAGAATTGAACTTCTCTATTCTAATGTATTATTGAACATTTTACATAATACAAGTGCCAATTAGTTAGCATACATTATGACTACAGATATGAAGGGAAAATCTATGTTTCCTCGCCGAAATGGTAACACAGTGGCCAATTTTTGGTGGTGAATAATCAGAGGAGAACAATTATCTTCGAAATATCTTTAACTCCTGCACTGTGCATACATTAAATGTTATATGAATGATTTGCACCTAATTTCAGGGTCATTTGGAATGTTGTTTTATCCTAGGCAACGTTCTTCTACGTCTATGATTTTCGGGGCAGATGCTATCAGCTTAGATTATTATTATTATTAACATCCTTATTGACAAAATTAGTTCAATTTTTGCCTAATCTGAGTAATTTAATTTGGTCGTATTAGAGTGAGGATAATGCTGGTATTCACTGTCACACAGGACAGAGGATCATACGTCAGACAACAGGTCTAGACTATTGGTCGATGCATATATATATATATATATATATATATATATATATATATATATATATATATATATATATATATATATATATATATATATATATATATATTCCTGCCCGCCATCTGAGGAGCTGGAGGAACTCGACAACCTATGACAACCATCTTTGTAACCCATATGTAACTCCTTTTTTGTAACAAAGTTCAAATAAAGTAAATATATATGTGTACATACAAAAGAATGGGGGTGGTAGGAGAAGATAATATTAGTGTTCAGTGAGAGACCACAAGGTCTCCTCTGAATACTTTTTATTTTCTTCTCCGAGGCTATGGGTCCCCACATTGGCACCAGAGGTGGTACCCTCACAAAATAATATATATATATATATATATATATATATATATATATATATATATATATATATATATATATATATATATATATATATATATATATAATATGCGAACAAGCTTGATTATTCCCCAAGCATATATGCAACTGAAAACTCCACCCCCAGAAGTGACTGGGTTCGAGTCACTTCTGGGGTCTACATGTTTCAATGTAAGAATATGTAGATGCGATTTTCTTTTGTGCACTGCCACACAAGGGCAGGGATGGGTTCATAAAAGAGTAGCTTAGAGAGCTGCACCTCTACCTTCGGGTGAGAGGCGAAATCCCCCCCACCCCACCCAAAAAAAAAAAAAAAAAACAGTGGAATCCACCCAGTTGTCTTTCAATCGTTCATGTAGGTGAATATATAGCTCGTTTTGCTCTCATCTGGGAGTTGATTGCCCAAGTCCTCTGCTCCTCAGTCCAGCTATCTTGTGGAGGGATTTTTTCAAGAACACGAATTTTTTGTAGAAGGACTTGGTGTTGGAGAACAGCAATACAATGCGATAATCATTTGGGGTAACTCAAGTGATAGTGACTTCTTGCCCAACCTGTCCACTCCGTTAAACAAAATAGTTAAAAGAAGATAAAATCAAGCCTGTTATTAAGAGTCTAGATTAGTTTACATTAACCAGTTGGGCGTTCCAGTATTGAGGTATATGAACGGAAAGGAGAAGAAAAAGGGAACTTAGTAACTAGGGAGGAATGGAAAAATATTTGACGATAAATGGGGAATAGGGAAAAGGGAGAAAACTGTTGGTCAGAATAAGGTAAGAGTCGATCGTGAAGGCTTTAACCCCCCCCCCCTTTCCCCATTATCCCTTTCCCCCAACACCCTATTAGAGTTCAATCCTCACCCACCAAGTGAGTGTTAAATTCCCGACCGTTTAAGTGGTTGAACACCATTCCTTCCCCCCGTCCCATCCCATATCCTTATCCCTTCCAAGTGCTATATATAGTCGTATTGACTTGGCGCTTTTCCCTGAAACTTCTCTTCCCCCACCCCCCATCAACGTTAACACCCCTCCGCCCTTCGCTAACAACTGAGCAATCACTCACAGGTACATAGTTAGTACTTGCAGCCCAGCGTGTCCAAAGACTTCACGTCAAAGACATATTTCCAGGAAGGAATTGGGTGGTTGTGTTCCAGATGAAACATTACGACAGAAAACACCATTTATTAGACGGATGGAACTTGGTCGTAGTTGTCATCTGTGCTTCTAATTAACCTGCCGGGAAGAATTGGGAAAAACTAGTAGACAAATGTAAATATTTCAGACGTACATGGTTTGTATGTGGGGGTAAGACTGGCACAGATATTTCTTCTCTCTGCATGTCTGTCTCGCTCTCTCTCCCTCCCTCTCACTCTATCGCTCTTTCTCTTGCTCACGCGCTCTCGCTGTCTTTCTCTTCCATGTTTCTCAATTCCATCTCTCTCCTCTCTTTCCCTTTCTCACTTTCTCTCTCATACTCACTCTCATCCTTCTCTCCTCAAGCACAGAGTGTCAAATTTCGATGGGATTTTGTTCTACAAAAAGAATAAGAACATATACGTCTTCCAGGGAAGAGCTGGGCCACCCAACAAGAAACACGAAAATATTTGTTAGTTTCTGTCAGTGTTTTAATGGTACAGATGTGAAGCCAAATTCAAGTATGAAATTCTAAGGCATAATATACATATATATATATATATATATATATATATATATATATATATATATATATATATATATATATATATATATATATATATGTCGTACCTAGTAGCCAGAACGCACTTCTCAGCCTACTATGCAAGGCCCGATTTGCGAAATAAGCCAAATCCACAGAGAAATATGAAATGAGGTGAACGTTTCGGCTTGTTAAAGCCTTTGTCAACACCAGACTGACTAGAGGAGAAGGGAGAAGGGGGAGGATATATAGGCCGACACCTGACCAACCCATCCCTAGGGAAAGAATTAACCAAAACCAGGTATAGCTTAGCTTAGAATGGTCAAAGAGGATTAAGCGGTCAGAGAATAAGGATGAAAGATAAAGAAAAGCCTCATGAACACACAATATATGAATATAAAATTATAATGAGACATTGTAAGCCTCTCTATCAGTTTTTTCTTAAACTGTTGTGCAATATTATAACTTAAAAATGGATCAAGTTTGTACATTCCAGTACTAACATTAAGAAGATTTGGACACTGATTAGAGCAGACTCAATTAAATTCCGTTCCACGAAATCCCCACAATTGGTAATGCTTTTTGCCCCATTCCAGTTAATATTGTGATCGCATAAACTCGTATGTAGATACAATGCATTAGACGTTTGGGCAGTTCTAATACTATAAGCATGTTGTGACAACCGCAATTGTAAGGACTTTCCTGTTTGTCCAAGGTACACAGAATCACAATCATTGCAGGGAATCGAATACACACAGCCTGCTGTATCAGGGGAGTTTTTTATTAAATTGGATTTGATCGTACTATTAGTGAACACCAAATTTATATTATGTTTCTTAAAAATCAGAGACAATTTTTCAAGTCCACTCGCATAAGGTACCACCAATGAGTTAATAATTTCTGGTTTCGCCTTAGGGACGTGATTATAAAACGTACGCTTGGCTTGTTCAAACAAGAAATCCAAAAACCTCTTAGGATATTGTAAACTCTTCTCAATTTCATATATTTTAGCAATCTCTTCATCAGAAAACTCAAGGCTGCATACCCTCAAAGCTCGAAGAAACATTCCTGAAAATACTGCCTGTTTCACTTTACTATGATGATTCGAATAAAAACGAACATACGACCCCACGTTGGTAGGTTTCCTATACACATTAAATTTGAACTTTCTAGTGACTCTATGAATCATAATGTCCAAAAACGGAAGAGTACCATTCTCCTCAGTCTCACAAGTGAATTTTATTGAAGGTACCAAAGAATTGAGTTCATTAAGAAAAACTATCTGGTCTTTGTCGCACGGCCATAAGCACAAAATATAATCAACATACCTAAACCAAACTACATTAGCCGGGATTATCCTGGATAAGATTTTTGTTTCGAAGAATTCCATATACAAATTGCTTAAAACTGGGGAAAGAGGATTGCCCATCGCCATACCAAATGTTTGTTTGAAAAAAATTCCATTAAAACAAAAATAATTGTCTTTTATACACAATTTGATAAGTTCCAATACTTTATTGGTCTACAAGCTCAAATTATATTTAGGCAGTTCCTCACGTAGAAATTCTAACAGATCATCAACAGGAACTTTAGTGAATAAAGAGGTCACATCGAAACTTATTAGTTTAAAATCAAAATTTAAATTCAGTGTGGATAGCTTATTAACTAAGTCCACATTGTTTGTCAAGTGTGAGTTGGAAATAGTACCAACTATAGGAGACAAAACTTTGACTAACCACTTAGAGAGTTTATAAGCCACCGAACCAACTGAACTAATAATCGGCCTTGCCGGATTATATGGCTTATGAGTTTTTATAAGACCATACATTTAAGGAAGAGAGGGGGATCGACTTGTTAGCCTAGATATCAACTCTTTATCGCCTTTACACACAGTTTTAAGAGTTTTGTTAAGATGTGCAATCACAGAAACTTAATATAAATTTGGTATTCACTAATAGTACGATCAAATCCAATTTAATAAAAAACTCCCCTGATACAGCAGGTTGTGTGTATTCGATTCCCTGCAATGATTGTGATTCTGTGTACCTTGGACAAACAGGAAAGTCCTTACAATTGCGGTTGTCACAACATGCTTATAGTATTAGAACTGCCCAGACGTCTAATGCATTGTATCTACATACGAGTTTATGCGAAAACAATATTAACTGGAATGGGGCAAAAAGCATTACCAATTGTGGGGATTTCGTGGAACGGAATTTAATTGAGTCTGCTCTAATCAGTCAGTGTCCAAATCTTCTTAATGTTAGTACTGGAATGTACAAACTTGATCCATTTTTAAGTTATAATATTGCACAACAGTTTAAGAAAAAACTCTGATAGAGAGGCTTACAATGTCTCATTATAATTTTATATTCATATATTGTGTGTTCATGAGGCTTTTCTTTATCTTTCATCCTTATTCTCTGACCGCTTAATCCTCTTTGACCATTCTAAGATAAGCTATACCTGGTTTTGGATAATTCTTTCCCTAGGGATGGGTTGGTCAGGTGTCGGCCTATATATCCTCCCCCTTCTCCCTTCTCCTCTAGTCAGTCTGGTGTTGACAAAGGCTTTAACAAGCCGAAACGTTCACCTCATTTCATATTTCTCTGTGGATTTTCCGCATGCATATATATATATATATATATATATATATATATATATATATATATATATATATATATATATATATATATATATATATATATATATATATATATATATATAATATATATATATATATATATATATATATATATATATATGTAATATATATATATATATATATATATATATATATATATATATATATATATATATATATATATATATATATATATATATGTAATATATATATATATATATGATATTGTTGAATATTACCGACAGGGTAAGATTAATTATTCTAACAGGAATCTTCTCAATATTTCTTATGTTTCTCGTCACTGTTGAGGGAAGTTGAAAAATTTACTCTCCAAAGTTAATTTTCACAATTTATTATGGTCTGACGCCTAAATATATTAGGAATATATTCTCAACGCTAAAAAGAGATAAAATATCTCTTCAATTATAGGGCTATCTAATTTATATAGTCCTGGACTTATATTAATATTATCCTAATCGCTACTTTTCTATAAATGAAGATTCAGTACTTCGCTAACGCATTTAGAGCATGATTTAGTCAGGTCAATTGAATGATTACTATCTATTCATTGAATAAACAATACCTTGGACTCTTCACCTGTCCTCAAGCTATGTTTGTGTTCTTTTATTCTTTGTTCAAAATGTTCACATGTTTGGCCAACATAGAACTTGTTACAATTTTTGCATGATTTTATTTACAAACAACCATTGCAACTACTTGGGGGAATTTGTTATGTCTTTTTATATCAAGATTCCTAAATGCTATGTCGATATTAAATTGTTTCAGTAATTTAGGAATTTCATTGGTGTTATCGTGAAATGCCATTCTTTCTTTTCCAAATTTTGGTATTAGGAACAATTTTGCTAGTTTTATCAATAGGGTACTTTCGGTATTTTAAATTGAATCCTGTACTATATGTACACTAATTTCATCAAAATATTCAGGGTTATATATCCTTAGATCCTCCACATACACTGAAGAGAAATCAGCTACTTTTACTCTTTGACGATGAGATGAGTAAAAGTGAACACAAGACCCGACATTTGTTGCTTTTCAATGTACATAAAACAACACAATTTTCACATGTATAAATTAACTCTTCTTGGAATGGGTAAGAATTGGTTTGCTCAGAATCAATTGTAAACTTTCTTGAATGTTGCTAGATTATTTAATTATAATATAAATATTTCCAGATATCTTAGCATTTCTAAGCTCCAGATGCAATCTCAAGATAGCTTAGCATTTCTAAGCTCCCGATGCTATCTCCAGACAGCATCTATCTATAGCCTCAGATCTTTAGCAAAATACAACTTGGCGAAACCATGTTGTATTATGAGGCCAAACTATATTCTATAGGTTAGTTTCATAGAACTCCACATATAAATTGCTGAAAACAGGAGAAAGTGTTACCCATAACCATTCACATTTTTTTACACTAAAAACAAAATTAGTCAATAATGCACATTTATATACAATTAAAGTAGGTGCTTTGAGGGGCGAGACTCATTCCTTAACAATTCATCAAATCAAAATCCTAGTACATACCGTTAACAGTACTCTAAAATCCCGGTACAGTTAACGGTACAAGGACCTATATCTCCAGGTACAGGTAACGGTACAAGCTACTGGACACCCGGATACACAACGGCTGAAGCGCCTCCATGCTCGAGTGCTGAAAATATATACAAATGCCTCTCTGGTATTTGTAGGTCAGACAACAAACACCTTTCACAGTTACAGGCCAAAACAAAATTCCCTTTTTATCCCCCTAACTACAAGGCACACTTCAAATGCTTCGTTAGCCGAGGTACAGAACTTAAGACAAACATCTCCCAGCCACGGTACCAGCATCCCTCTCCCTACACCAATCCTTCAGAAGACTCGGGTACAAAACGCTGTATCAAACCTCTGGTACACTCCTCGGCACTCATTCCCTACCCCAGCCTCCGGCCCAATCCACACTACCAATCTCTCCTACCCCCTAAGCTCCGGTACAATCAACGGTACCTATGTCCGCCGGTGCACGCCACGGTACCAACCCATCCCTGAGGTACCTGACGCCTCACCTCCTTGCTGGAGTATTAGTATGCAGGTCCTCCCCGGCGAGGTTTATAGCAAGTGTTGCCCTCATCATTACTGTCATCCCCGGCTCCTGACACACCTTCGACGTCAGCGGCCCTCCCACGTCAAGCCCACCCTTGCGTCAGCTGGTGGGCGCTGACGCAAGAATAGCTAAAGCTATTCTCCCCCCTGCTGCCGCGGCCTCTGTACCTCCTGCTTTTGATGCTCCGTCTGCCGCGGCCTCTGTACCTCCTGCTTTTGATGCTCCGTTTGCCGCGGCCTCTGTACCTCCTGCTTTTGATGCTCCTACCGCGGCCTCTGTACCTCCTGCTTTTGATGCTCCTTCTGCCGCGGCCTCTGTACCTCCTGCTTTTGATGCTCCGTCTGCCGCAGCCTCTGTACCTCCTGCTTTTGATGCTCCTGCCGCAGCCTCTGCACCTCCTGCTTTTGATGCTCCGTCTGCCGCAGCCTTTGTACCTCCTGCTTTTGATGCTCCTGCCGCAGCCTCTGTACCTCCTGCTTTTGATGCTCCGTCTGCCGCGGCCTCTGTACCTCCTGCTTTTGATGCTCCGTCTGCCGCAGCCTCTGTACCTCCTGCTTTTGATGCTCCTGCCGCGGCCTCTGTACCTCCTGCTTTTGATGCTCCTGCCGCAGCCTCTGTGCCTCCTGCTTTTGATGCTCCTGCCGCGGCCTCTGTACCTCCTGCTTTTAATGCTCCTACCGCGGCCTCTGTACCTCCTGCTTTTGATGCTCCTTCTGCCACGGCCTCTGTACCTCCTGCTTTTGATGCTCCGTCTGCCGCAGCCTCTGTACCTCCTGCTTTTGATGCTCCTGCCGCGGCCTCTGTACCTCCTGCTTTTGATGCTCCTGCCGCGGCCTCTGTACCTCCTGCTTTTGATGCTCCTGCCGCGGCCTCTGTACCTCCTGCTTTTGATGCTCCTGCCGCGGCCTCTGTACCTCCTGCTTTTGATGCTCCTGCCGCGGCCTCTGCACCTCCTGCTTTTGATGCTCCGTCTGCCGCGGCCTCTGTACCTCCTGCTTTTGATGCTCCTGCCTCAGCCTCTGTTCCTCCTGCTTTTGATGCTCCTGCCGCGGCCTCTGTACCTCCTGCTTTTGATGCTCCTGCCGCAGCCTCTGTACCTCCTGCTTTTGATGTTCCTGCCGCGGCCTCTGTACCTCCTGCTTTTGATGCTCCTGCCTCAGCCTCTGTACCTCCTGCTTTTGATGCTCCTGCCGCGGCCTCTGTACCTCCTGCTTTTGATGCTCCTGCCGCGGCCTCTGTACCTCCTGCTTTTGATGCTCCAGTAACGGCTGTTGATTCTGCTGCTTTTTTAGTCCTGTGATTTACATTGCGATGTTGAGTCGTTGCTGTTGCTACTTCTGCTCCAGCTGCTGTGTATATATTTTATGCAGCCTCCTTTTCTTTTGCTGTTGGATCCAGTTTGTCCTGTTGCTAATATTATTCTTGAGTCTTCAGATATTTCTGCTGTTGACACTGCTACTTTCTGTTGTTCCCACTGCTACTTTCTGTTGTTCCCACTACTGTTTTCTGTTATTCCCACTGCTGTTTTCTGTTGTTCCCACTGCTGTTTTCTGTTGTTCCCACTGCTGTTTTCTGTTGTTCCAACTGCTGCCCTCTGATGTTACAATTTATGCCTTTTGCTGTTCCAACTGCTGCCTTCTGTTGATCCAACTGCTGCCTTCTGTTGATCCAACTGCTGCCTTCTGTTGATCCAACTGCTGCCTTCTGTTGATCCGACTGCTGCCTTCTGTTGTTCCGACTGCTGCCTTCTGTTGTTCCGACTGCTGCCTTCTGTTGTTCCGACTGCTGCCTTCTGTTGTTCCGACTGCTGCCTTCTGTTGTTCCGACTGCTGCCTTCTGTTGTTCCGACTGCTGCCTTCTGTTGTTCCGACTGCTGCCTTCTGTTGTTCCGACTGTTGCCCTCTGCTGTTCCAACTATTGCCCTCTGCTATTCCAAGTTCTGGCCTCTGTTGTTTCTATTGCTGCTGTCTCTGTTAACTTTAATTCTGATACGGTACCTTGCAAGTGATGTTTGCTTAAATGCTGCATCACTGTTGCTGCTGTAATTGATGATGTTGATGTGTATTCTAAACGCTTCTGCTGTTGCTGTGTCATATAAGCTCCTGCTGATATCAACGATGAATTAAATATTATCTTTGTCATAAGAGTGAAAGGTCTAACATAATTTTTGTTGATTGATGATCTGATTGATGATACATCTGTGGGTATAAGGCTGTCTGTGATGATGGAAACCTGACTGGGGATCTTCCTCTCCTGGCCACATTCAGTATGTTTCACTCACAAGTTGCTGCTGCCAATCAGGACAGAAAATTCCTTAGAAGACATCTATTCTATGATAAGTCCACTATTGCTGAGCTGGATAAGTTTAAGTGCCTGCTTAACGAAGGTCTTAATAATTCTTAGATACCAAATGATACACTAATCTTCAGTGTAATTTCCATCAAAATAGTTTAATTTATTTGTTTACATCTGTCATATCAATGCTAGTTTGGCCGGGATTAGATAATATCACTCCTTAAAACGAGCAGAAGTAGTAGTATGCCTGGTTGGGACGATCATGTTAGGGCATTTCAGAATAGATCTATCTCCTGGTAAAAACCTCTTGAAATATACTGGGTGCTCCAGAGATGATTGGCTGCTTCCAGATCAGACGTAGCACTAGAGCTTGGTATCATGTAGTCATGAAGGGGATTAAGAAAGAGAGAGATATACTTGTGAAATCAGAGGTTCCTGATAACCTTTCAAGAAATTTTGTTATTGAATTTTGTGGAAAAATTAGATACATAAGAATTTCATGCAGAGGGCTATCAGATGTCATTGACGATTCCTCAGGGGCCCAATAATACATGTAATATATTCCATGACAAATATTCAACATTGCACAATGCATAAGCAATATATGGCCTATGTCTAGTTATAGGACAGATGAGGTAGAAACTGACCTAACTACAGCTGCATGTGAAACTTCTATGTACCCTGATGAGAATGTTAAACACCTGCTCACTGTATCCCCTGAAATGGTTGAGAATGCAGCAAGAGAGCTAAAAAAGAGAGAGAGTTATGATAGTCCCTATGACATTCTCTGACAACCTTAAATATGGAACGCCGAAACTGCATATCTATCTGTGTCTCTCTCACGCTTTCTCTCCATTGGTTTATCGCCATCTGTAATAAACACCTTTTCACTGGTTCCCATTCCAAAGAACCGTCGAGCTTCTATGTCCTCTTGTGATAACTAAAGAGCTATTACCTAAACACTATTCAACAAAGGTATTTCATTATATATTCATCGACTTTCTAGCTGACAAACTAGACACCTCTGACACAGATGGCACACAAAACTGGCTTCTCAGCTTCGCCCTGTACTTGTGTGTGTATTCTAAGACACACAGATGTTGATTCCATTTTTTTCACTGATGTTGTTAAAAAAAAATTTCACAGATGTTGATTAAATTTTTTTTCACTGATGTTGATGTTTCTCTGGGTGTGGTATTCTGCAAGTCATATTTATTATCTGTAGCTGCTATTGTTTAATCTGTTGTTAATGTATTTTTTCTCTAGCTCTTTCTGCAGTTGGTAATGTTGTTATGCTGTTGGTGGTCTTATGCTGACTCTCTTCCCGTTGGGGGTGCCTCTCTTCCCGTTGGGGGTGCTTACACTGTCTCTCTTCATGTTGGTGGTGTTTATGCTGCCTCTCTTCCTGTTGGTGGTGCTGGTGCTGCCTCTCTTCCTGTTGTTGGTGCTTGTGCTGCCTCTCTGTTGGCGGTGCGTATTGTAAATTCAGCAGGCGTGTTGTTAATTCAACAGCATACCTGATAAGACATATATAAATACCTGGCCCTGACAGGACATACTTTTCTGCTAAACAGGTCTCTAGAAAGTTTAGTGTGTTCAACGTTGTCAAAAGCTTTGGGAACCTCCAGAAACCGAGAGATTGCTCTTATGAGTCGTGGTACTGAATAGTTTGTCACCACGAAACTAAAAAAGGTACAGAGTAACCAGCTTTGTATGCAAATTGAGAGTTAGAGGCGTCTTGTTCGTGAGCTAGAATGTCAATGAGCAAATAATCAAATACTTTGTGTAATAGTGTTGACTAGACCACACACTAGAAGTTGAAGGGACGACGACGTTTCGGTCCGTCCTGGACCATTCTCAAGTCGATTGTGATGAGGAGGTAGAGACAGGCAATAAATAGGCAAGAGAGAGCTGAGGAGGAAAGTAAGGTGTAGGGAATAGTAGTAATAATGAGAACTGCAGAAGCCCTATTGGCCCATACGAGGCAGCTCCTATTATAACCACCGAATGAGAAGGAGATAGTAATAGGAATAAGAAGAGGATAGCAAGGGAGCTTAGGAGAAGACAAGCGTGTTTGTGTGGCAATATCTCTATAATTAAATGAGGATAGCACAGAAGCTCTGCAGTTCTTTGGAAGCGAACCGAATACCGAGGTGTTTATTTCAGAATGCTATGTACCACGATATCACACGATCAATGCAACGTTACATTAGAGAGAAGTTAAGGGGCCTGGTGAGCGAATACTGTATCACCAGGAGCCAGTCAACTGATACATTCATTACGAGACTTAAATGCTTCGCTATCTTTACTGAACAAACCAACAGGTCCGCGTTAGGATCTGACGCCTCCGAAGAATTGAAAGGATCTCCATTTGCTCCTGGTCACGGGTGGACGATTGATGACAATAGCTTTACCATTTTGTGGAAGGTGAGGTAATGGTAGCAGTGATCTTGGCATGGTAATGGCAGCCATGATCTACCCATGGTAGTGGCAGCCATGATCTACCCATGGTAGTGGCAGCCATGATCTACCCATGGTAGTGGCAGCCATGATCTACCCATGGTAGTGGCAGCCATGATCTACCCATGGTAGTGGCAGCCATGATCTACCCATGGTAGTGGCAGCCACGATCTACCCATGATAGTGGCAGCCACGATCTACCCATGGTAGTGGCAACCATGATATACCTTTGGTAATGGTTACCGTGATCTCGGCCACGGAAAGGTCTTAATGTTCCCAATGATGGAATATATAATGTATTATATAATATATAACGGAATATATATATGATTTCGACTACATAACGTATTTTTTTCTGTCAAATAGTCATGATTGTCCTTTTGGGCTGGGATGAAACTTTAGTCTCATGCTCTATCTGCTTTACTTAGAGATTGGCTCTATACTTAGGGCCCCCGAACCTCCCTCACTCAGAAATCAGTCTCATGACCCCTGGAGCAGAACCTCTTGGCAATCATTCTAAAGCATCCCCCCCCTCCCTCTCTTTGATATCATTCTGAAGCCCATTTTCTTTGTCATAAGTTTGAAGCTCCTTTTCTTTGTCGTCATTCTGAAACTCCTTTTTATGTCATCATTCTAAAGCCCCTTTTCTTTGCCATCATTCTGAAGCTCCTTTTCTTTGCCATCATTCTAAACCCATTTTTCTTTGCCTTCATTCTGAAGCTCCTTTTTATGTCATCATTCTAAAGCCCCTTTTCTTTGTCATCATTCTAAAGCCCCTTTTCTTTGTCATCATTCTAAAGTTCCTTTTCTTTGCCATCATTTTGAAGCCTAATTTTTTTTACCCTTCCTCTGGATGTCTTTTTGGCGCTTACTCTATGGCCTAACCTCACCCTATGGTCCAACCTATTAGTGGAACCAACACAAGAACCATTCCTCTTGGTTCTCATTCTGGAACCCAGTCTCTCCAAGCTCACTCTGAATTTTAACTTTGGAATCAGTACTCTGGGCTCTTGCTCTGGAACCAGTACTCTTGGCTCTTGCTCTGGAACTAGTACTCTTAGCTCTTGCTCTGGAACCAGCACTCTTGGCTCTTGCTCTGGAACTAGTACTCTTAGCTCTTGCTCTGGAACCAGCACTCTTGGCTCTTGCTCTGGAACCAGCACTCTTGACTCTTGTTCTGGAACCAGTACTCTTGGCTCTTGCTCTGGAACCAGTACTCTTGGCTCTTGTTCTGGAACCAGTACTCTTGGCTCTTGCTCTGGAACCAGTACTCTTGGCTCTTGCTCTGGAACCAGTACTCTTGGCTCTTGCTCTGGAACCAGCACTCTTGACTCTTGTTCTGGAACCAGTACTCTTGGCTCTTGCTCTGGAACCAGCACTCTTGGCTCTTGTTCTGGAACCAGTACTTTTGGCTCTTGCTCTGCAACCAGTACTCATGGCTCTTGCTCTGGAACTAGTACTCTTGGCTCTTGTTCTGGAACCAGTATTCTTGGATCTTGCTCTGGAACCAGCATTCTTGGCTCTTGCTCTGGAACCAGCACTCTT